AATGCCTTTAGTCCCTTGTCACTGAGAAGCATATAATACCTAATTATAGAGATGGAAATGACTTCAGAAATTAGCTAGTCCAAATCTCTTAATAGATTAAGAAAGTAAAGTGAGAGACTGCCCAAGGTCACATATTTAGATTCAGTGCTGGGACTAGAAGCCTAGCGTGTGACCTCTAATCCACACTTCAGGCGAGTCATGGCTGAGCATAGAGATATAGCGCAAGTTCTTTTTTTATTTTATTTAAATTCTTTATTGTTGAAAGTGTTACATATGTCTCCTTTGTAATATGTCTTACATTGTCTTACATTGACCTCTCCCCGCCCGCTCCTACTTCCCAGCAGATGCCCTCACCCCCCTACTCTCTGTGTCCATTGGTTATGTTTTATACTAGTACATGCATACAAGTCCTTTGGTTGATCTCTCACCCCAACCCGCCACCCTCCCCACATACACTCCCCTGCCTTCCCTTTGAGGTTTGTTGGTCTGTTTAATGCTTCTATGTCTCTGTATCTATTCTGTTCATTAGTTTGCGAGAGGCCGGTGCATGAAATGCATGCACGGGGGTGGGGAGTGGTATCCCTCAGCCCAGCCTGTGCCCTCTCATAATCCAGGACCCCTCCGGTAGGGTCCCTAGGCCTGGTTGGTGATCAGGATCTATCCGGGCTTTCCTTCCCCAGGCTGCCGGAAGCTAGTCCCGCCCCCGCTGCTGCCACTGCTTGTCATCTGTGCGACACTGCTCCTAAGTCCCGCTACTGGTCACCTCCCTCTGCGGAGGACAGGTGTGGGGTGCGATAGCTTAGCTGGCCTGGGCCTCCCTCTGCGGGGTGATCATTGGCCGGCCTCACACACCTGTCACAGCATCGCTAGCCAGTGGCCTGGGCTCCCTCTGTGGGGCGATCAATTGCGGGACTCTGGGCTCTGCGATCGATTGCCCAGCAGAGAGAGGCCCTGCCCATTCAGCAGGGGCTCCACAATTGATTGCTGTGCAGAGGGTGGCCTGTGCCTCCTTCTTTGGGGTGATGATCATGGAGTCCTCCCCATTGATCGCTCCCCATTGGGCCTCCTTCTGACTGGCGATTGTGGGGCAATGGCGGGGCCCCTGACCAATCGAATCGCATCGCATCCGCCTTGTCTGGCCTGGCGCCAGTGCGTGTCATAGCATGATCATCCGAAATGTCATCCGAAGGTCATTCTGCTGTTTGGTCAATTTGCATATTATGCTTTTATTATTATAGATGTTGTTCATTATATTCCACAAATGAGTGAAGTTCTTTACAAGGCTATTATGACTCCATGAAATAATGTTGTCAAGAACATTTCTTATTAGATGAGTTCCTCTTAAAAAAAAAAAGCTCTTGATTATGTAACAAAAATATATAGAGAAAAATAGTGAAAACAAATAATATGTGCCTATTTAAATTCAATGTTGGTGTGCATAATGATTGATGATTATGAAGTATGCTTTAGTGCTTCTGATGTTGACAGTCTTGCTTAATGAAGAGAACACAGGTATTCTGTTCAGACTGCCTGAGATCAAATCCTGACTTGATCCCTCATAAACATGGGAATTAATTGATAATTTATAATTTTAAAATAATTTTTACCTTGTTTTCCTCATTGACAAAGTATAAACATTATAATTATCTAAATCATACTGTCCTAAGAGTACTTCACTTACAACATAAAAAAAATGAAATGATA